TTTACAAAAGATGTAAGCAAACCATATATTCTTTAATTTAATTTTTTGGGGGGAAAAGAGGAGAATAATTTGTTCTCTGTCTCTCACCGCTGTGTATATGTATGTTCATGAAACAATTTTTTGCTTTAATTTTTTAAGTTAGGCCTAAGAGAAAGGCTTCTGATGGTCATTAATTTGATGTCGAAAGTCTATTTTCTAGTAGTTGACTTGAAGAATAGGAATTCTTTCTTTCTAGAATAATATTTTATATCTGCACGCTGCTTTACAGTGTGTCTTCATTTCTTCACAACTGTCCTTCAAGGAAGGTGGCACAACGGGGCCATTGTGGGGATGAAGAAACCAAGGCCCACACCTCAGATTACACGGCCACTCAATGGTAGTGACATTTGGATTAGAATCCAGTCTCCTGGCTCCTAGTTCACTGTGGCGCCCATTATACCTGGAACCTGTGAGAAAGGAGAGAGGCTCATTATAAATGACTATACAGTGGACCCTTTTGTTATCCTTCCAGGTTTTTCTCTCAAGACCTGAATCTGATCCAAAAATATATGGGAACCAGGAAAGACTACCTGGTCTCTACTGAGGACAGCACTGTGCTGCTTCTCCCTTCATCCTCGGCTCTCATCAGACGGGGCTGGGATGCCAACTAGTTTTTTGTCTACACTCTGGCTCCCTCTCATATGAGTTGGAGAAAGTCACCTGTGAGGGACAGGATGATCCATATTTCCGTGGCTTCCATCCACCGTGTGGAATCCCAGCATCCCCATCGCTGCCGCTTGCCTCAGTGGGAGAGAGGAAGGATCCTGGACCACAGCTCTTAGTTGCCGCTTGGCTCTGCGGCTTGCCTGCCCTGCCTCAGTGGACGACACCTTTGGCTGTAGAGTCCCTTCTGACTGTCTTGCTTGTTCCACTTTTCCCATCATTCTTCTTTTCAGTGGATTTTGATGAACTTATTTGCCTCTGACTTACCTCGGAGAAAAATTTCCAGGCATGTTTTGGGAACTAAGAATAGATGTGGAAGGCTTAAAGATAATTCTAATACTGCTGGGATTGAGATAAAAATGATGGTAAATGGTATTTCTGGTTAGGTTGATCTGGTTCACCTTGACCAGTTTCTACTGAGCAGATCCTTAAAAATTTGTGAACTTAGACATCAGTTTAAAGAGAGTCAAAATATACAAATATAAAGGAATTGAAAGGCATTACTGGTTAATTTACTCTGCAGCCTCTAACCTTGTAGAGAAAAAACTATTTATTCTCACCAACATGCTTCCCTTGAGAATTTACTGTGGCTGAGACGCGGGCAGGGGAGAGTCATTGTTTCCCATGTGTCTGTTGAGGGCCCTCCTTGTGGGGATCCACAGAGGAGTTTAAACAGAGCTCATGCATGGGAATGATTGCTGGTGTTCTCTTTCTCCCACCCCCTTACCATCATCTGTCATCTTTCTCTGACTGGGGAGGGATCCTTCGAATGGTCAGATTTTTCCCAAGCCCTCCTGAGCCTTATAGTCTGAAGAGAGGCAGCTTGTGGGTCGAGAGACAGGCAGTGAAGAGCCTCCTCAGGTCCATGCTCTGCGACTAGGGCAGACGGGAAATCTGTCTACGGGATCACGTGTGGTGGGACGGTGAGCACTCATGGGGGCCACTCCTTGGCAGCCCCCGGTAAGTCTGTGTGGCAGCTGGCCATCGCCTTTGTGTTGATGGAGTGTCTGTACAGTTCACAACAAGCCTCTGCCTCTCTCCCTCATGTCTCACAAATCCTTTCTCCCTCCATCTCATCACGCCAGGCGGGAGGAAGTGTTGAAATGATTAATGAGCAGGACACAAAGACAACTGGTGCCCAGAGCAACAGCTGTCTCGCACCACACGCTGAGTAATCAGATACATGAGGCAAAGTGGGGTCTCCACCAGGGAGAACTTTGGTAGAGGAAGTGCTAATCTACTCTTGGGAACACTGGGGTGTCAGGCCCCCTTCCCCACTCTGTCTGTGCCTTTAAGCTTTTTAGGTCCATTTCCCCCCAGTTCTGCTGTTGGGAGTGAAGTTGTGACTATCTCCTTGACCCTGAAAGCTGGGAGAAGGCTGTGTGTGTGGGCACCACCACGGACCCTCTGCTCCACCCAGAGCAGCAGAGAAAGGAAGGGTTGAAGTCGATGTTGCCAAGAACCTACCCATGTTTGCATTAAAGCAACTTCTGGCAAGAGGTCCGAGGGCCGTTCTTGATCACAAGTGGTATCTCCTGAGCGCTTTAATTACAGAGAATTAAGCAGGAAGTGGAGTGCTGGACTAAAGGAATAATGACACAAAGGAAGTGAAGCAGAAAAACTTAATTTCCTTCCTTTAAGAGGAAAAGAATATCCATTTATTTAAATGAATTGCAAAAAAAAAAAAAAAAAAGAATGAAGTGTGGCATTTCCCCCGGCCTAGAGTTCAATGGGTTTTTGAAGGGCTGTGTATCTCCTGGGCCAGACCATTGCCTAGGATCTTCAGTCCATCCGCAGAAATCGCACGGCAGGCTAGGAACCTCATTAAGATGCAGGAGCATCTCCCAGACGAATGACTCAGTAAGGCAGCCCCCCTCCTGCTTCTCCTGCAGGCCCTTGCCTGGCTTAGCTCATATTTTACATGCAGCACCTCTAGTTACCCAGAAATTGCATGCGAAATTGTGAAATAGAAAAGCAGTGGGCCATGTGGCTCCATCAGTTCTGCCTGGCGTTGCGTCATCCTTGACTTGTACTGTTCCAAGGCTGGGCTAGAGGCTTTGCTACAGAAAGCCCGGAGGCCCCAGACACCCACCAAAAGTTGCAATTTGAATATGTGCTCCTAGTATACCTGTTGTGCAACTGGGGCAAGAGAAATGGATGGAACTGAAATAAGATTGGAGAAATTCACAGTGAACAGCAAAAGTGCCACAGTGGAATGTAGACAGACATTGTGGTTATTGTCATGTATGCAGTGACTGTGGGACTTGATGTTTTACTAACAGGAGCCTTGTAGGGCCCAGTGCTTAATACCCAGCTCTGTCTTCAGTGATCCCCTATGGCATCCTGTTTGTGAGCCATGGTACCCAAAGTGCAGGACAAGGGGTTCTAAAACCTTGTCATTGACACTGTGATTGGGAAATGCTAGGATATCGTGATTCAGAGGGAGGCAAGTCCGGGGACAAGGAGGACGAGAAACAGGAATCCATCACCAACTCTGTGCTCGGGACTTCACATGTCAGTTCATTTCATTCTCACACAGTTCCATGAAATAGGCATTGTTCATCTTATACAGGGTAGCAAACTGGGAGTTGGAGAACTTCGACTACGTATGGGAGGCAGCAGTTGGCATAATGGAAAAACCATGGCCTTTGAAGGCAGACAGAGGTGGGATCAGAGACCAGCCTTACCACCCACAGCTTTCAGCAATTTGGGGCAAGTTATGTAACATCTGTTTTCTCATCTGTAGAATCTGGACGAGTATGCCCATGCACTGGCTTGTTGGGAGGATTAAATAAGATACTGTAGGTAACAGCACAGCCCTAGCACACAATAGACCCTTGGGAAATGGCAAGTGCTGTTGTATGACCTCACAGTGGGAGAATGAGATCTGGACCCCGAGTGGTCCACCTCATCCCAACCTCGTGCCCCCTCCGTGGCCCCCAGCCTCTGGCTCCACCCCTGAGTACCGTTCTTAAGTGATGAGAACAAGCACAGCCAGACACAGCACAGGACATCTGATGAGCCCAGCACCCTAGGGATTCTTTACATTTCAGCTCTGTACATTGCAAATTAGTTCCTCCACGCTCAGCAGACAGGGCCGGTAGGCAGGAGGACGACATCGCTCCATCGTGCACAATGTAGATGATTCTTTGAGCATTTCTGTAGGTTTGAAATATTTTATTTAAAAATTTACAACGCCTGTCTCCAAAATTGCATGACTGAGATTTCATCAGACCTGACAATTGATGAGATGAAGAGGGCAAGACACAGAAAAGAGTTTAAAAATAACCCTATGCATAGCTTCAGAATTTGCCACATTATATTACAAAAATTGTATGTCTCTGGGTCTGTCTTCCCTGCTACTTTATGTAGTACCATCTTTGTATCCCCAGTGCCTGGTCCATTTGGACTGAACTAGCAACATACTAACACAGAGCTGGTAAGGGAGCAAAGGCTGTCCATTTCCCCAGGACTTGAGTCTGCAGAGCTGTGTGTGGCTTCAGCTTGACTTCCTCTCACCTTAGGACCCCGGGGCAGACAGTCTATTTCCATAAGTACCCGACTCGGCCATGTGGGTGGAGCTTGGCTGGCTCTGAGCACTAGAAATGTCCATGTCCAATTACTCAGGAGGTGGACTGGGGAGGCGCTGCCTCCTGTTTCCCACCGAGATGCGCTTTCATTCCCTGAAATGACAACTTCTATGCGCTCACTTAATGGGATCCCAAATAACATGTTTCAAACAAATCTTTTATCACCGTTGCCCCTTGGAACACATTTCAAATGCTGGCCATTAAAAACAGACCATTTCGCAGGACTTTAATGATGACACTAATAACTGTGGATTTTTGTCTCCAAGAGTCTTGATGAGCAGAAGCGAGGAGTAAATTACAGAGCTAACTTTTATGTCCACGGTTTATTGATCTGTGAGCTTCAAGGGAACTACACCAGCCCCAAAAGCTTGGCAGTCCAGATTACCTTTTCATCTGTGTAATTGGGCCACCAGGGTACCATTAATTTTTAATTTATATTAATAGGAAGACAAAGAACATGACGTGCCATTTCTGTAATAAAGTCATGAACGTGTCAAAATATTCTACCTGATAATTATAAATATATCAGTTTTCCCAAGATCCATTGAGGAGTATGTTGCTCATTCATTGTGTTTTTCATCCTAATTTATCAAGAGAAGGTTCCAGATTGCCACGTACACTTAGATCTCCAGAGTGCAGGAGGGTGCTCCATCATAGGGTATCCGACTGTCTTAATCAACGTCCTTTCCTGCCTCTGTTTCTTAACAGGTAAAAGTCATGCTTCGCATTTGTTCCACGCTGGCTCGCGACACATCAGAATCCAGCTCTTTCTTAAAGGTGGACCCCCGGAAGAAGCAGATCACCTTGTATGACCCCCTGACGTGTGGAGGTCAAAATGCCTTCCAAAAGAGAGGCAACCAGGTGCCTCCTAAGATGTTTGCCTTCGATGCAGTTTTTCCCCAAGATGCTTCTCAGGTGGGTAGAAACCCTGCTCGGGCCCAGATGGTGCTGATTTGTTTTGAGAAGTTTTACTCATTCACCAGGACCTAGGAGCTGGGCAGGTGTCTTCCAGAGCACTCTGATGGACCAGTTCCTCCACCTACACAACTTTTAGAAGCCAATTTGAGCTCTATTAAATAGTTTAGCCCTTTTGAGTTACTGGTGCCATCCCCTGGGCAGGATCATTGTGCCAGGATTTCAAGAAAATGTGTCCTTAGGAGAAAGAAGAGCAAGCCAGTCAGGGGATGGCATACAGAAACAAGAAGATAGCAGGCAGAATTGGAAGTTTCAGGACTGCTCATCGAGGTGCTGGTGACTGGTCCATTAGGACCCCACTGCTGCCTGGGCTCCTGGATGTGAGTGTGTAAGACGGGAGATATTTCAGGGAGCTGGAGTAGAATTAGGCCAGACCCTGGGGCCCTATATAAGCACACTGAGCCGGAGGGCAGGTCTGTAGGCCTAGCGAGGAGCTGGAGTGCTAGGCAGGGAAACTGACATGCAGTCCTGTGGCCTGGATCAGTGGAGTGGAGGGGGAGGAAGAGAGGGAGCTGTTGCTGCATTACAAACCATCCTAAAATTTAGTGGCTTAAACCAATAAGCATTTATTATTGCTCCCGAGTCTACGGGTCAGCTGAGCATACTTCTGCTCCTAGCTTGGCTCACTCCTGTCTCTGTGGTCAGCTCTGGGTTGGGCAGGTAGCTCTGCCAATCTTGGCTGGATGCTGTCACATGTTTAGGCATTGGCCAGCTAGTGTAGAGTGGCCGTGGCCGGGTCACCTGGTTTCTCTTGCACATTGTCTCTCATCGCCCAGCAGGCTGGCTTGGGCTTGCTCTCATCGCGGTGGTAAGCACCCAAGCATGCAGCCTCTTGAGGCCTAGGCATGGAATGACACAACATCCCTTCTGCTGTGTTCTGTTGGCCCAGACTTGAGGGGTGGGAAGAGACTCTGCCTCTTGACTGGAGGAACAGCAAAGGCACATTGCAAGGGGCACGCACACAGGGCGGCGGGGGGTGGGGGGGCTATCAGTATAATTTGGAGGCTTCTTGGGAGCCCATGTTGCCAAGATTCCTGAACCAAAGCTGCTGAGTCAATCCCAGTAAGAGCAGATGTCTCCTAGAAGATTCAGTTGCAGCATCTGGCAGAGTCTGCAATGAATGGGTGCAACTGAGTCTTCTAGGAGACATCTATAATCCAGGTTATAGGGACACAGTTGCCTGCATTTTGGCATCAGACATCTGCACTTTCCTGACTAATTTCCTGCACCTCCTAAAAAGTGTTTTATACAAAACAGTGTGGGCTATCTGATAGCCTATGGCAGAACCTGGGGACAAGAGTGCTGATAGCTAATTTGTAGCTCCTGTTAATTTCCTCCACATTGCATCTGGGTGTAGGAAGCAGTGATGGTCACTCAGGCTCCTGTATTACACCCTAGGCACAGCGTATATACATAGGCTCCATTCATTAACAACCTGAGCCTATGGTTTCCCCAAACAGTCTTACCATGGGAAGACCAAGTACTTTATAAATAAGTTCTATGGTTTCTCTCATTCGTTGTGTGTTGTACCATCCAATGGGCTCACAAATCTAAACCTGACATTGGGTCTAATAAATTGCCTACAAATAACTTAATTAGCACAGTTAAAACTTTTCAAAAGCAAATCTCCCTAAGTTGTGAGAATTCCAAAGCAAACTCTAAATTAAGCATGGAGTATTAATAAGTTTTAGATTTATTCCAGAAAAAGGAGCTATTTTTATTGCTAGTCTTTGCTTACATTTCACTCTAGGTTCTAGAGCTCATATGCTTAGTATTACAGTTGCACTTGCTTCAGAGTCCTTTACTTTTGTTAAAACTCCCAATATTATAATAAATTGTTTTTATATAAATTTGTAGTTTTCAAAAAATTTTATATAGATTAACCCATATGACTCTTCCTAGAATTCTGTGGTGTAGGAAAGGTAGGTATTGCTATTTTCCCATTCCAGACAAGGAAACTGAGACTCAGAGATTAAGTCTCTTGTTCATAGTCCTTTTCCTGAGCAGACATGCTTCCTGGGTTCTTCCCCTTGCCTCCCTGTGTCCTGCTCAGTGTCGTATTGCATCTTTGGCCTTTTGCCATTTTATCCATTGTTTACCAGCAGTGTGTCCTTGGGCAAGTCACTCTACCTCTCTGGGCCCCAGTGTCTTCATCTGTAAAACGAAGACAGGACCAAAATGTACCTCATCAGCTGTTGTGGTTCACTGAGTTGATGATACGCGTGAGGTGCTTAGAATAGAGCCAGAGCATAGTGAGCACTCAATAAATGGGAGTGGTTTTTACTATTGCATCATCATTGTCGATAGTAATATCCTGCTGCTGGCCATGGCCAGCCTCAGCGCCCACGGGGTAAGTACCCTTTGAGCCCCCAAAGCAGGAAAGTGTGCAGAGTGGGCCTCTGCTCTCAGGGCCTTGCTGTGGCCTGTGGAGCAGCAGCCACCACAGGGGCCCCAGGCAGTTACAAATTTTGCTTTTTCTCAGTCTCGAAGGACATCAGCTTCCTGAAGCTAAGCAATGACGGGAACAGCGCCTGCTCCTCGCTGCCTCTGTGAGCCATCCTCAGTCCCTTTGAGTGGCCTCGGCAGTCATCAGCTGCCCGCTGCTGGAGCAGACCTCTCAGTCTGGCCTTGGGCAGGTGTCTTAGTCCCATTGGACTGTCATAACAAAACAGCACAGACTGCATGGCTTACAAACAACGGAAATTTATTTCTCACAGTGTTGAAGGCTGGGAAGTGCAAGATCAAGGTGCTGGCAGAGTTGGTGTCTGGTGGGAGCCCTCCTGCTGGTCACAGACAGCTGTCTTCTCACTGTGTCCTCATCTGGTGAAAGGGGCAAGAGCACTCTCTGGAGCCTCTTTTTTTTTTCGGGGAAGATTAGCCCTGAGCTAACATCTGCTGCCAATCCTCCTCTTTTTGCTGAGGAAGACTGGCCCTGAGCTAACATCCGTGCCCATCTTCCTCTACTTAATATGTGGGACGCCTACCACAGCATGGCGTGCCAAGCAGTGCCATGTCCACACCCGGGATCCGAACCGGCAAACCCCAGGCCACTGAAGTGAAACGTGCACACTTAATTGCTGCACCACCAGGCAGGCCCCTCTGGAGCCTCTTTTATACGAGCACTAATCCCATCATGAAGGCTCCACTCTCATGACCTACTCACCTCCCAAGGCCCCACCTCGAGTCCCATGACTTTGGATGTTAGGTTTCAACACATGAATTTGGGGGGGACACAAACATTCAGTTGTTCCCAGTAAGGGTGGTGGGGAAGACTCAGACCTGGGGGTAAGCAGAGGCTTCCTGCCGAACTAGCCCTGCCCACGGGATCTGCGGCTGCCTGCTTCTCTAGGTCCAAGGGGAAAGGCAGCAAGGGGCCACTGTCGGCTCCTGACAAACAGCAGACGGACGGGCCGCTGACCACTCTCTTCTCCGTGGACACTGAACAGGCACTCTGCCCTGTGAGGCCTCTGCTGTGTCTCCTCTGTCATCCGACCTTTGCACAGGCGATTTGGTGATGGCAGGTTGGTCCACACACAACCAGTTATCTCCCTACTGATCTTGAACCTAACACAATTTATTTTATGGATGGCTCAGGACAGGCTCTCAGCCTCCCAAACCCATCTCACTTTACGTCCAAAGAGGGCAGAGCTCATTGAGCAATAATTTCTTCCGCTCTGCAGAGGTGCCTCTGGCAAATTCCATCAAGACTTTGCCATCACGGTACTGCCTCGGTCTCAGGGTTTAGCACCAGGCTCTCACTGCCTAGGCCCTGGGGGTGCGACAGATCTTTGGTCCCCACAGCAGCCTTGTCCTGCCATTCCCTTCTCCCAGGAGGAGCCCCTAGCAGAGTTGCTGAGGTGACCACCGGAACAACTGACAATTGTTGGGGATGCGGTTTTTCAGTGTTGGTTTGGGAGAGAAATATCCGAATACTTAGGTTCGTTGTGCTGCTGCAGCCTGGAGTGAATAACGGCACTCATTGCCGAGGCTGCGGGTCGCGGAGTCCCACGGGAGGCCTGTTGCTCTGACAGCTGCAGAGCTGCAGCATTTGCATGGCTTCTGGATGCGTCCAGGAGATCTGAGACAGGAACGGCACACAGTGAATCATCTTGTCCTCCCGCTGCTGTGAAAATCTCAGATGCTAACCAGAGAGAGATTTCCCAGATCTTCAAGTTGGTCCACAAAATTTACAGAGTTCTTATTGTTGGCAGAGTGCTGTATTATTGGGTGTTAATGGGGAAAAACCAAAAGCCATCAAGAACCTGATCCCTGTCTAAGGATTTAATAGTCAAGTTGGAGAGGAGACACCCATTATGACCTGGTGACAAATGGCGATTGATACTGTATACGTTGAATGTATCTGCAGAGAAAGAAAGAAAAGGCTGGTTTTGAAAAGAGGTGGATGTAGATTGAGAAGGAGGAAGGAAATTGGGAGAGAAAGCAGACATAGATCACGAACCTCCTGCTCATGTTAGAACTACAATGTTTCTCAAGGTCATTTCCTGAAATGGCATATCATCTTTATCCCTCTACTAAGCCTGGCTCATTTCATGAGCACTGCGTGTATGTGTGTGTGCACGCACGTGTGTGTATGTGTGTGTGTGTGTGAAGGAAAGATCTGGTTAGCAGAGGGCAAGTGGAAAGTTTAAATGCGTTGTCTGGGAGGCCAGTAGGGCAGATCAGGGAAGGGCGTGAGGTCCATGGAAGCACCCTGTGTTCCCGTTCCAGCCTATTCCCGCCTGGTCTGCAGAGACAGCAGCTGAAGTGGACCACAGATGAGCAGAAGGCTGGTTTGCAGTTAACATCTGTAGCACTCAGTCTTGCAAGGGGTGGGGGATACCGGAGGGTTCTGAGCACCCCCAGAACTCGGTTAGAGGCTGACCCATCTGGGAATACGATGACTCTGGGATCTGAGCCCCAGGAAAGCAGGGTGGAATTCCCCTTGTTCATGGTCCACTCTCTGCTTGTGTCTCCTCTTGTGTCTGCCAGGCTGAAGTGTGTGCTGGGACTGTGGCAGAGGTGATCCAGTCTGTGGTCAACGGGGCAGACGGCTGCGTGTTCTGTTTCGGCCACGCCAAGCTAGGTCAGTGAGAGCTTCATTTTTTCCTGCTCCTCTTTGGATTCTCATTTCACCCTCTCCAATCTTCTGTATTGGCCCCAGAGTCCTCAGATGAAAGGAAAGGTCGTTTCCCTTAGGCGCTGAATTGAATAATCATGAATAACTATTTCTGCTTTTGAAATGGAGATGTTCATCCTGGGAGCATACCCAATCATCTAGGAAAGCCCTGGAGTCCAAGAGATGGACAAAGGAGGAGCAGAGTTGTTACCCTGTGGTCCTGGTCAGGGTCACACCCAGAAAGCCCGCATGAAAATGTACATTTCCTGGCAGGGGCTGTGGGAAGCAGCGAGGGCCCCTGGACCCCTCCAGAGGCCTCATGTTGGTGGATGGAGCCGACGTAAGAGCCAGAGGAGCGGTCTCCCAGGCAAACCCAGGACCCTGTTAGGACGCATCTGGGGAAATCAGGCTGACAACCACCGCGCTTCCCAACATCCTGCTATCTGGAATATGCTGTGCCTAAGCACCTGGGAAGGGAGGCAGCAGAACACCCCGACAAGGGTTTGGAGGATCGAATCCCCCCTAAAGTGCCTTCCTAACCCTGACCTGTGGCCATCTGCTCACCAGGTCTTACCTTCCGTGCTTGATAAGTTAGTAATTTGGGGAGCTCCAAAGAGTGTCCCTTGGCAGAGATTCCAGCAGAGCCCCCTTACACATGATGGAGGCAATTCTGTGCCAGGACAGAAGGCCCATTTCATCTTGCTCCTGCTTCGCTCGTCTTGATTTCTGATCAAAGCAGTAATCCAGATTTTAATGGAGTTCGCTCATACTATAAAAATATACACAGCGTTTAACTTGAGAGGCGCTGTAAAGTGTGAGTCTGTGCACTTAATCTGTGGGGTGATGATAAAAAGAACCGTGATGGCGATGAAAGATCCCTGCCTTCTGCTACACGTAAAATGACGAGGAAACTGAGAGCTGGTGGTACTTGGGATCCTCCTCCAGGTAAAGTGTGGTTTAATCTTGTCATTAGTCTGTGCTCTTGCATCTTTATTACAGCCGCTTAATCAGCAGGACTCGGAAATGTTTCTTGTTGTTGTTGTCAAATTCTCCATATTTCTCTCACGTTTTTATTTCCTTTCTTCCGCATCCTTGGCATCTGTTCTTGAGACACTGGAGAATGATTCCCGACCCTCAGTCTACTTTTCTTTATTCCCTGGCCCCCGCAGGAAAATCCTACACCATGATCGGGAGGGACGATTCCATGCAGAACCTTGGCATCATCCCCTGTGCTATCTCTTGGCTCTTCAAGCTCATAAATGAACGGAAAGAGAAGACCGGAGCCCGTTTCTCAGTGCGCATCTCAGCCGTGGAAGTGTGGGGCAAGGAAGAGAACCTGCGGGACCTGCTGTCCGAGGTGGCCACGGGCAGCCTGCAGGATGGCCAGTCCCCCGGCGTGTACCTGTGCGAGGACCCCATCTGTGGCACACAGGTGATTGGTTCTGGAGCTTGGCTGGCTCCAAGGTGGCTCTTCCCCACCTCGGAGGCTGGGGCACTTCCCCCTGTGACTCACTCCACATGTAAACTGGGGAGGCTCACAAGTGTTTACTTTGAAGTGACCTGGAACTTTATGGCCTGCAGCTGTGGGGCCATCTGCTCACCCAACCTAAATATTTGTACCTTGACTCTAATTGACAATGAGCAGGAACCACAATTGTTGTAGTATTTGGGGGAAATCGAATTCACTTTCTTTATGCCCCTTTCCAAAAAAAAGTACAACCTTTCTTTTGTTTAACAATAAGCCAAAATATTTACTGCTCCACACAAATAGCTACAGCCATTCTCGGGGCTGTTTATGGCTCTATAAACTGTGTTTCTGGCACTGGCTTGCGGCCAGATTAGTAGTGCTGTAGGAAAAAACTAATAACCACTTTCTAATTAGAACCATGATATAATTGCTAGAACTATGGAAGCCAAGAGAAGCTCCAGTTCGCATTTTCAGGATGTCATGCCTGTTACAAGCGTTTCTCCCTTGCTCTTTGACAGTAGATGGAGGGCTGACTCGGGAGCTCATATCCAGAATAATCTGGATAATAATATTCTGGGTAATAATCCAGAATAATTAATTCTTCCAGTCTCTGGCAGGAGGCTTTATTTTTACTTTTATTTTTTAGATAGGTGTTCATTTTGATAAGCACCTGCCTCATCCTGAGTGTGAGTGTGTTCATAGGTGAGGACCCCTCTGTTACCATGCTCTTCCCTGCTCACAGCATCTCTGATCCTTCCATTCCCACTGTGAATCCTCCGTTCCAAAGCTCCTCACCAATCGCAAGGCCCTGTGTGACCTGTCCCCTGCCTACTTCCCACTCCCCTTCAATTGCATCTGGGTCCCCAAAGAAAGCAGTGCCCCTCCGACTTCAGTGTGTATATGAATCACTGGGGATCTTGTTAAAATGCAGATTCTCGTTCAGTAGGTCTGGGGTGGAACCCCTGATTGTGCATTTCTAACAAGCTTCCCAATGATTGACATAGTAGCAAGGCTCTAAGGCACTCACCATCCTCTGCCTTACCTCTGGGCCTTTGCACATTCTGTTCTCTGTGCATGGAACACTTCCCTTCCCTCTTGCTCTTCATCTGGCTAACTCCTTGTTCTTTGGGTATCAGCCAGATGTCACTTCTTCCAGGAAGCCATCTTGGATGTTTCTTCTGATTGTCAGTTGTGATTGCCTAGTTAGTTCTCTGCAACACTCAAAGGGTGGGTACCATGTCTGATTAAAATTGGCTGCTCATAGTTTTAACAGATGCATTAGATACTATTTGGATGTGGAATCTAATTAGAATGCAAACTAATTGGTCATGAAAACCTTAATCTGGTGGTTCTGAAGCGTTAGTCTTCATCAGACTCACTTGGAGGACTTGTTAAAACACAGGTTGCTGGGCTCCCCATCTAGAATTTCTGATTCAGTAGGCCTGGGAGAGAGCCCTAAGATGTGTAGTTCTAGTCTGTTCCCAGGTGATGCTGGTGCTGCTGGTCCAGGGGCCGCACTTTGAGAACCACTGTTCTGAAGCATAAGACTTGCTCAGACGGTATCTACACAGCACCTGTGATGGAAATCAGTGTCACCCTACCCACCGCTCCCACTCTGAGCATCACCTGGACATTCAAATATGCTAGAACCTCCACTCACTTTTGTAGCTGCATTAATGAAGTTCCACTTAGGTGAAAGATCTGGCTAAGTGAAAGCTAAGAAGAAGAGGAAGAGACCAACATCGTCTTTATTTTAACTTTTCTTGTCGAAAAATCTTAAAAAGTCTTTGGTTTATTTTTCTGCCGTAGTAAGTACAAAACAGTGAACACAACAGAATCTCTCTTTGAAATTTGAGGATTTTGATGGTCTTGGGTTCCAAATATTGGCTCTCACAGTTCAGAATTATAAGTATAGTTAGAGTAGAAAACTGTCAGAATATATACCGACCCTATTTGAATCATTTCTTTGAATAAATCAGAAATATGAGTTTCCTTTTCTCGTGAAAAAGACGAGTGCTGGTCAGACTCTGATAGCATTGGTCTGATAAGGCTTGACTGTAATTGCCAAGGGGTCTCATAGGATCCAGACACATTGCCCATGACGCTTTCTTTAGTCAGTTAATGAGTATGCCATGAACATGAATTAGGAACTGAAGATAAAAATTGATATCCTGTAAATAATACGGATGAGACACTCAGGCGTCTTGGGTGTTTTCATGTGTCTTTTACATTTACTTCTTATTTATAACTATACTAGCAAAAGTGGCCTAAATTTGGCTTTGGTTAAAGAGCTGGATAAATTGAGTTCAGTTAAAGCCAACCAAGTCTTTTCACTTCTTTGGAATATCAGTGCTGTCTGGACTAAAATCATATTTTACAACCTACCTGTCTCCAAACAGTCTAATCTTTGAAATCAAGATGCGGTCGTGTCCTTCATGTTTTCTCAGGTGAATGGACGGCCCAGGATGTCAGTTTGGTGTCCTCTGCAGAGAGCAGAATGGGCCCCTACTCCCCCTGATCACTTGGATACATTTGGTCTTCACATCTGCTATTTACAGATTCTGCTTATATTGTAAAATGGGTAAAAATATGTTCCATCCAATGTGTGCTCAATATTGATTTTCAGAAGTGAATTAAGCTGAGAATTGCACATGAGAACAGGACCTTGTTCCAGAAGGACTTTTGGCCTTTGAGAGGCATGTAGCTTTACTCTGCAGAATGGATGGCCAGGCATGAGCGGCTGGCGAGCCCTCCTCAGCCTGCAGCTTCAGCTCTGAGCTTGTGTCTTCCAGCTGCAGAACCAGAGCGAGCTGCGGGCGCCCACCGCAGAGAAGGCTGCCTTCTTCCTGGACGCCGCCATCGCCTCCCGCCGGGGCAACCAGCAGGACTGCGATGAAGAAGACCACCGCAACTCCCACATGCTCTTCACCCTGCACATCTACCAGTACCGGATGGAGAAGAGCGGGAAAGGAGGAAGTAAGTTGACCTGTCTCTACTCTCAGACTAGTGAGAAACCCCTCGTTGAGGGCAACCATCACCTTTTCTTAATGTAGTTCAATTTCACCAGCATGGAGTTCGTGATTTGGAACTCAAGATAACGATAGGGTCTGGGCTGCAGTTTGCTTTTGAACATCCAAGGGAAAAGGCTTTGCTTTGGTAAAGATAATTTATGAAGGTAATTGCCTTGGGAATGTGAGAGAACCAACTTAAGAAAACTGCTTCATAGTATCTTTTTGTTCACAAACCTTAAGGGTGCTGATCATGAAAGATGGATCTGTATCCCCTAGCCCTCCCAGCAGTGTTATTCATCGTGACCTTGAGTCCACTATATGGACCCGAAAGAACCAAAGTCATGTTTTTAAAGAGTCTATAAATCAGACTTGAATACCTAAGCAGACTCTGGCTGCCTCCCTCCCTCAGGTAATGCCCATCAGTGACATTTCCCTGTAGAATCCCTGGCCCATGCCCTGCTCTGTGAGGGAGTTACACTGCCAGGAACCCAACTCGATGGTTAGACAGTTCCCTCTTGGCTGTTTTTTCAAAGCTAGCACTGACGTTGGTGCATGTTCATCCCTTGTCTGCTGAGTAGCGTAGACTCTATGCTCAGTGGCTGAGTACCAGCGCTCAGCTCAGTATCTCAGGTGGGATCTTGCACTGTGGGCAGAGTAGTCCCTTGACCTCACTGGGCTTTCTAAGGCAAGTGCAGGCCACAGGGCTGGGCTGGCCAGGCTACAGCTTCCATAATCTCTCGATGTCCACTTCTACAGGGCTTTCAAAGAGCTCTCTGAATGATGTCTCGAGGATGCTGGATGCCAGAAAAACAAACAAAAGTCCTGAGTCAGGAGACTTAAACTTGGTGCCTAGAAACTGAGAAGCTAATTGGCTAATGCAGAGGCAATCAACTAACGTAATTCTAGGTGGAGCCTAGAATTAAGACATCCAACTGGGATCTGTGGATGGGCTCCCCAGTTTCTCCCCAGGTCTCCTTGTTGCCCAAAGACTTGGAAACCACTACTCCTGGAGATAGCTCTTGGGGGCTTATGTTGCCCCAAGTGGAAGCTCTCTCCTTCTCCCATCTCATTGCCTCTCTTGGCCCAGTTTCCTGCCATTATTCCTACTCCTTAATTGTTGTTGTTTAACTCAGGTTTAATGAGGTATAATTTACATTCAGTAAAACTTACCCTTTTTATATGTCATTAGATGCGTTCTGACAAATCTATAGTCATATAACTACGACCACTATCAAGATATAGAACAAAACTATCGCCACATAAATGTCTCTCTTGCCCCTAGTAGTCAGTTCCCTCCCTAGCTCTGACAACCACTGATCTGATTTTTGTCCTTATAGTTTTGCTTTTATCCAGAATATCATAAAAATGGAATCATATGATCCATATGTGGCCCTTTGTGTCTGGCTTCTTTCATTTAGCATAATGCATTTGAGATTCCTCCACATGTTGCATATCAGTCGTTCACTTATTTTTCTTGCCTCCTGCTCCTTTGGTTTTGACTGGGCCTAGAGACTTGCCCCCTATCTCTACCCCGGGACTCGGGCTGGAGTTCCACTAATCCAGGCTAGCCTTCATGGCTCTGACCATCAGCCTTGGCGCCCTGCCCTGGCTGCTGCCCAGGAATCTAGAGATACCGGCCCTCACTTGCAAGGCGCTGGGCGGCCAGGCAGAGGCACCATCAGCAGCTAGGTCTCTACTGAAACCAGCAATGGTGATGAAGGTTTGACTGGGGATGAGCAAAATATCTTGAATGGGAATCTTTCAAAAGAGGTTGTTTCTCAAGGAAAGGCTCACGCCATGTACAGCACTTCCACTTGGAATAACTTTCTTAAAGAAGAAAAGAAGGCATTAGGAGAGGGATGAGAAGAGCCAGACCTTTAATCCGTAACAGAATTTTATCCATGTTTCTCCTAACAATCTGGGGGCTGGCTTTAAATCCTGCCCTCCCTGTTTTTTCTCAGTTACATCTTAGCAGGGTGAATGTGCGAGTCTAAAACATGTTTATCTTATTCTTTTAAGCTGTCAATAATAATAACAATTGGACCTTACAGTGGATTCTTGTCCTTTTAGCAAAAGGTGACACGCAAAAGGTCTGAATCTTGAGCCAAGGGTTTCCAAATGACACTGAGAAGAAAAACTCAGTGTTGGGATCATCTCCTCCTCCTTCTCGCTTTCAACACAAGCTACAACTCTGGTTTTGGTTTTTCACTTTTTTTCATGATTTTCTCAATTTGGAATCGGAAAGTAGGGAGAAATCTTGAAAACAAACAGTTACTTAAGTTACTTCAATTATAAGAACTTAAAATTCAGCTTCCATGACGGTGTAGGCTAGGACATTCCTAAACCCAATAATCCACCCAAGGTCAGTACTTAATGGATCTCGAGCATGTATTAAATATTTAACATCAAACTCATCTTCTTCCTATTTATAAATTGTGAAAGTGAATTGCTTTTAAATAATAAATTCAGGTTAAAGGAAAAGGCAGATACCATTAGTGGCTTCCAGAACTTCTTTAGGTACTTTCTCATGTGTCTGTAGATGAGAACAAAGAAGGGGCAGGAGTGAAGGGGCTGATATGGGGGTGAGCCCCCAAGGATCCGGAGATGTCACCTGCCAGCCACAGCACCCAGCTTCTCTCAAGGAAGGGAATCCAGGCCAGAATGCACACAGCTCCCGCTCACAGCTTGCTTGACTTCAGTGAATTTATATCTGTTTAAAATATAATTAGGAGATTTTGAGTGTTGTTTAAAATGGAAATTTTGTTTACTTATATATAAGTAATAATCCCTGTGGGCCTGGCAGCCGGAACTCAATTAAGGGAAAGTTTATTAATTAGTCACCCTGCAGGAAGCAGACAGCAGAGCGTGCTGCTCTTAACTGGCCATTAGATACTTAGATGATGGATTCAAAGAGGCCTCTGCTGCAAGAACTAAACACACCGTGTGTATATATGCACCTGAATCTTACACACATATATGTGTCCTATACACGCACATATGCACATATAAGTAGACAGACAAAAATGTTTTAAACACGTCAAGATAGAAAAGAAACTTCTGGTGTATCACTGTTTTTCAGATAACACTAGGTTAAGCTGAAAGTATTTCCCTGGTTTCAAAAGTTTTTGGAGCATCAGCGGGACCCATCCTTCACCCATCACGGAGCCTTCTCCTGCTTTCTAGGCTAAACCTGGAAAGGCTTGAGGACACCCTTGGGAATTCCAGCATTGGAGAAGAGAGCCTAAAGCCCCGATGGTCAGGAGCTGCTCCTCGTACTTGCACGGATGAGTGTCTAGAGCAGGATGAGACTAGTGATACTCCAGGGTAATACACTCATGATACTGACGTTTTACAAGTCCTGTTGATAAAGGTGGTTTTTAAAAGCATCACTTTGATGAGTAACCTGAGCTTTCAAACAGCTGTTGCCCAGGATCTAGAATGACACTGGGTCTCTGATTTGTTCTTTCACTTTATTACCACTAGCGGAACCTAGAGGCCAAGCGTGGGCTGGGCTGGCTGTGTGTGCGCACACGGACGAGTGTGCATGCTTATGGGCATCTGGCTGTGCCTGCACTCATCTGTTTACACGTCTGAACAGACTGTTTCCTTAACCTCAGTTTTCTTTTGACAACCAACCATTCTTTCTTTATGTGTCTTGGAACAGCTTGAATCACCTGACGCCCTATCCAGGGCTGTGTGGTCTGTATGACTCTAGAGGCCCATTATTTGGGTGGTAGATGGGGGAAAAGGGATCTAGGAAAGAACATTGTTTCTAAAGGAGGCAGAGAGGGGCCTCAGCTGTCCTTCATACAAAGCTCTGTGCAGTGAGGACAGCCACACACAGCCGGGGGGTACTTCTGGTCTGTCGTCTCCCCCTTGGTCATTATGAAGTGACAGTTTTCTATTTCTCGATTTTTGTAATATGATTTTTAAAATCTTTGGCCAGGAGACAATATTCTAAACAGCGCAGTCTGGAATTCCCATAGTAATCTCTCATGGTCTTCCCGTCACCGCCGTCTCAGCAGCATTTCCAGACCTCTGAAGCCTGATCCCCACTCTGCCACTCTCAGCAGATAATCAGCAGCCTATTTAAGGTGAAGATAGAGTTAACCTGGTGTATTGCCTCAGCCTCTCTCCTCTTAGCTTCAAAATCTCCTTGTTCCTGCACCTGGGTCCCCCTGCTTCTCTCCCACAGGTGTGCTTCCTCCTTCTCCTTGCCTTCTTTATCCCGTCCCCTTCTGTCTCTTCTGGGACCTCACCAATTGGGACCGTCAGTCATCTTTTCATGCTTTTATTTTCAATCTCTCCTACCACCCAAGCCAGAGCTAGGTGGAAGGAAGGGAAGAGGAGGGCAATGACATCAACAATTTAAAAAAAGCCTTATCTGGACCCTACTTCCCCCTTGAGCTGCCTTGTCCATCAAGCCTTTCAGATTCTCCCTTTGTGTAATGTTTCCCCTTTAAGACCCATGACAGTTTGGGGAGTGGTAAGCCGTTGCCTTACTCCACCTTATATTTCAATCATCTGTGGGCTTGTCTAACCCCATTAGACTTCAAGTTCCCTGAGGACAAGCCCGTTATCCATCTGTCTGTCCTCCACAGTGTTACTAGTGTGCCTGGCACATCAGTGCTCGGTCTCTATGTGTTCAATCAAATAGAACGCGTGCTGTCGTTTTATGATTTCTCTATTATCTAGTTTAGCTGTGTTTCAGAAAGAGAAAGACCATCCAGTTACTCTTCATGTAAACAGATGGTGTGAGTTCAGTGAAGCCCTCTTATGTAACACAGTCAGAAGGAGCTGGTCAATTGAGAAAGTGAGTTGGAAAGAGGATTCATATAAAATGATACATTCACACCATAAATATTTTATTTCAACTTAAAACATCCAAATGAGTATTTATTCATCAATCTCCTCAAACAGGGCCGTGGCTTCCTCTTTGAGATGAGTTTTCAACTTAAGGTTCTG